TTTAACAGCGTCGCCTATGCTTTCCGCCAACTATGACTGCGAATGTCATTGGAAAGCATCGCTGTCCTCCCAGACCAAAGCATCACCTCTAGTTTAGGTACTCTTAGTCAGGGAACCCGACAATATCATTTATACCTATTTCTAAGAAACTTGTCAATAGATAGCGTTGGGGTAAATGTCATCATGGAAAATAAATAACTGTAAGGTGCACATCAAAACAGTAGATTATTAGTGCAACTTTCATGCATCTATACTCAAATGCATGCATCAACAGTAGTGACGTCCCAGTACTTCTGGTTGACCTCGAGCGTAGGGTAGTGACGAGAGCGTCAGACATCGTGGTTGATGAGGTAGCTTGGAAGGGTTGCAGAATGAGCGATGAAACGAGCTGTCAACTTGCTGAGAGGCTCAACACCAACCAGCAAACCTGTTGGTTGTCGTGGACACAGAAAATAAATAGTGTGCGACTACTTGCTAGATTCGTAACGGGTATTCAGATGTACCCTAAATAAATAATTTACAGGAAAAATATAAATATATTTTTCGGGTTCCCTGCTCTTAGTCGCCAAAAATACCCATCGTCAAGCAGACGGCATTCTTAAATCAAAATTTACCTTGCAGGACAAAACCCACATTTGACATGTTAGTAGGGGCAAAACTGAAAAAATGCCTTAAAGCTCTCGTGGACTAAGAAGAGCACAAAAATCATTTACACGTCAGATAAGAGGGACCTTTGCCTCAAGTGACCACTGTTTCATGAATAATCCCAGCAGCGCAATGTTTTGCAACTTCTAGCTTGGTAAGTGAACTCACCTTGTGGACGCGAAAAGAAATCTGACAACTTGTCTGGGAACGGAACCAACTAGTGCTACACACAACCTTCAAACTGGAAACGAAAACGCAACAAGGACTAGCAAGCGTAGGACTGCTCATTTTTGGAACGAAAAATAAAGCCATCGGAGAGAGCGGATCTCCTTGCATGGCTTTCACGATGAGAGCTGTGTGACCATTCGTAAATATCGCCACACACATTGCTGACGCAGCGCCTCACAGGATGGCAGCTTTCGAAACCCACTAGTACACTTGTGCGCGACGTCAATAGTTTTTCAAATTGACCACAAGGTGTGTAAAGATACCGAGCATTCGTATTCTACTACGCAGCAATATCTATGTATATCCAAAGAATCCATCGAAGGGAATTTCTGACATCCTGTTGGACGCGCATCCAGATATTGAAACAAATATGCAAATAATGCCCGAAAAAAATGAATTCGACTCATGATTTTAACGAGCGCTACCAATGATAGAGGTTATTACCATATTTCTTGTCGAGTTGTTCATTGATGAAGAAGCACAGCTCCCTAATCCATTGTTATCACAGTGACAAAAAAAATCTTACGTCTATTTTATCTGCGCGTTGAATAGTGTCGTGTATTTGCCTATCATCTCACCGGACTTGTCAAAGAACGCCCAGTGTTCGACTTCCCTTGGTTGTTTCTTGTCCTTAAGCCATTTGTTCAGCAGCTGCGCTTCCAAACTTTTGGCAGCAGCTTTGGTTTTCGGAACCTTTTTGGCAGCGACGATCATGTCTACTAAGGCCATATCGCCATAGTTTTTCTTGAGAGTGTCAAAGATTGTCGTTCGCTTGCCGGGGTGTTTTGTGTTAAACTCATTCATGTATCTGACCCAAAATTTCAGTACTGGATCCGATAGAATCGGCCCAGTTCCGCCCCCCGCAATGTTTTTGAGACCCCACATACCAAACACGTCGTCAGGAGTAAACCCCTTTGCTCCCCACTCCATTAACAGCTGGCTCTCCAATTTTGCGGAGATGGCCTTCGTTCTCCCGTCCTTCCGCCCAGCTTCAAGTACTTTAGACATGACTCTGTTGCCAAGAGCAAGGGATAGTTCCTCCATTCGTGTCGATCCCTGCATTGGGTATCGCACGTTGAATTTATCCACGTACTTTAACCAGAAACTGAACACGGGATTCAGGAGAATGTCGTGTTTTTCGAACTTTAGCAAATGAAACACGTCGTACGGTTGCATGCCAAGGCGCATCCAATCCTCCAATCGTTGGGACTGTAATTTAATCGTCGTGGTTTGATCTTGTAGTGCGGCATTCAGCATTGTCGAAACCCGCTCGTCTCCGTAACGAAAGGCCAATACAGAAGCCGCAGATACACGTTCTGCTTTGGGCTTCTTCTTGTTCAATTCATCCACATACTTAATCCAAACCTTGATCTTCGGGTTTGCCAGCAAGTTGCCTTTGACGGGTGTCAGTTTCATCTTGGTAAACACATCGTCTGCCGATGTTCTCAAGCTCAGCCAATGTTGTAGTTGCGTTTTCTCCACAATGGATCCGATGATCCCTCTGAGTTTCGTGACGCCTGGTATTGTGTCCAAATTAACTCCCCTCCTTTCGTTGGTCTGGTCTCTTTCAGCGGTGTTGTCAGATCTTAAAATCCTCGCGGTGGGACTTTCAACTCTGACAAATTCAGCTTTAATCACTGTCGAAAGAGTCACAATTGTGAGGGAAGTAGCCACAGCAAGCGTGGCGACTCTGAGAAAGTTCATGGCGAGAGCTTCGTCTCGCTGTCTTGATACCTTTTGCAGAGGGAGGAAAACGAAAATGGTTGGGTCCTGTAGCTCGTATATAGGGAACAGTCTCACTCTACCAGATTGGGTTATGTTTTTATATTACGGTATGAAACTAAACAATAACGACCTGGACAATGAGATTTAGTGCCAGAACTGGTCTTCATTGGAAAAAAAGGATAAGGAAATGGATTAAGAGAAAGTGCATAATTTTAACTCTAAATTTGCAGGACGCCTCAAATCCTAAAATGGACAATAGAGTCATAGAAATTTGCATCTAGAAGATCCCTATGAGCCAAGCTGATCAAATCACACAGGCCAGAATGTATTTAAACTTTGCCCTGGTGTGGAATTGATGCGCTGACCAAAGAGAATTACAGACGTCACCGTTACTCCTTGTGAGCTTATATTCCATCCCTCCATTAATTTGAACGTTTTCAGTGGTGCCAATACCATAGGCAATGATGATTTTTAAGCGCTTTCTACCCCGCCAGAGTGGATGCTACAAGTTGGCATTGAATTCGGAATTCAGGAACAGATTGACATTTGTTTATGTGTCGCTGCCAAAAAATCAATTTTTTTTTTAACACACAACCTGGTCATTATCATCTGCAAATGTCCCAACAAACGCTACGATTCACTTGAAATCGATGTCATCTTTTTACCAATCACCTCAGTCTATTCGTTGCAACGCTCGAGGCAGCTATTGAAAGAGTTAAAGATCATACAATCCAGAAAATGCAAACGTCGAGCACCGCTTTGAACACCCAGAGAGTGGCGCTTTTTTTTTTTTAAGGATAACCGTTTTAAAGAACGTCACGCTGGGAGATTATAATACTAACCATTAATATTAAGTCACTCATCCGCCTCGAGTCGGTAAGCACCAATCTCCTTTGGGTTCAAGGAACTATGTACCTGTCACTACACGTCGATCATCCTTATGTTTCGCGCTAATGAAAACGCTCATCAAACATTGCTTGCAAATGGGGTACGCTGTTCAGCAGCAGCACAAGGTAGTAACTGAAAATAAACGCAAGCCCACGACGTTATTCTAGGCCAAGTCCCGCAGTCAGTACAGCCAGAGGCTCAAGGCAAACCAAAAAATTAGTCCTGAATTGAGCTGCAAATGCTTTCGCGTTTGTGAGTTGCTCCTATTTCAACTTAAAAACCTTGGATGACATAATACGTAGAAAGGAGACACTGCAGTGGAAATTCAACGAGTGCATAGTTCAAATGCTCCCTTGCTGCAGCTAACGTTCCCAAGGTTTGCATTTCAGATCTATCTGCCAGCGAAAGAAAAAAAGAAAATATTTCTAAGTATGGGCCTAAACATTTTGAACGTGAATATGGAACCTAGGACCGTTCCCCAGTTTTTCTGTCTCACAGCAACAGCCGCCGATAATTCGCTTTCTTCGTCGTCATCCGTAGGAAGGCGGCAAGGTAGTGAGTGTAGACGTTGCAAGTCCTGTCCAGCTATTGAGCTCACTGCTGGGTCGAACCGTCGCCTTTAACGATGCTGCACTTAAATCAGCGTAAGGTTTCTTTCAATAGCTTATTGTTATCGGCGCCACCGCCACCAGCACAATCGATATTGCACATTCAGTGCCAGTAGCCCACAACAATAGAAATCAGCAGTCGCTTTTCGAGACGTTCATGCTATACATATGCTGGTTTGACGTGCTATGCTGAACAAGAAAACATATCGGGTGGGGAGATAACCTCGTCACTCCAAGCAAAAAGCTGTACTCTCCACCGCCGAAGAAGTGTACTTGGCCAATGCAGGTCAAGGTGACGTTTAATACTGCAACTAAACTACGCAAGTGCTGGCACGCCCTGGGTTTGATTGACAGATCGCAGTAAAGGTGTACTCTTCACTATAACTTCGAAGGTGGAACACTCTACTTACTTGAAAAATCGTTACCAACAGTGCTGAAGAGACCTGTCATATGTCGACGCAATTGACTGGTGAAGTACCGTTTAGGAAGCATACGAGATCCGTGTCCAGACGTGTTCATGACTTGGTCGGTGAAATTTAATGAGACCACGAAAAGCTATGGTCGATAAGCATACGCCTGTGTGGCTTGAGCGATATGATCAACAAGCGGAAACGAACCAGATAACGTTACGGACTTTTTAAGGTCTTTAGCTTAGGGCCTCCAAGGGAACACGTCGTATATGAGCTGGAAAAGAGACCTGACGATGGTGTCCAAGGACGAGTATACCGCAGGTGGCTTTACTGCTGCCTACGAATCTCCTACGAACAATCACTGAGCGATAGGGTCTCCACACAAAAGCGGTAGAGATTTTATCGGGTCACCGGTAGTCTGGTCATCTTTGGATCCTGTTGATTCTGGTGTTATTTTCTGAGCGGATACAGCTTTTCGGTACGCACGCAAATATCGCGTGCGTGCAATTCAGAGTGTTTGTTAGAGAAGAGACTGCGATTCAGAGTAATCATAATGACAGAGTGCCGTTTGTCTTCTTACCTACCGAGTAATAGAACAGCACAACGACAATAAAGCGGGGTAAAGAGCCTACAATAGAGCCAAGTCACTCGAGAAAGATGTCAAACGCGCTGCTACTCAGAATCAATGCAACACCACTAGATCTACACAGCGTTGTCTTAGAAACGACCGAGCCAGTTACAGTCATTTCGTATTGTTAGTAAGGTTGAGCAGGGCAACAGTGTACTATTTCGAATTTGTAATACATATCTATTTGGTCTTCATTTTGGATATGAGTCCCATTTTTGGTGGTGGCCCGAAAATGACCACCAGTGAACCGATTTGATTTCTTCCACGAAGACAGATTCTTAACAATACGAGAAGACGCTGAACGGAGTGGAGCGAAAGAAACGTTTAGGACGCGTGAGCTGATT